GCTCTGCGGAGGTCCGCACTGACTCGATGTGGACTCGAAGCGGACATCCGCCGGACTGGTCCGCGCAGAGATAAACTTTTTGCGTCTGCGGTGTCGCACAATAAACTGCCCGGCGAGTTCACGTCAAACGGTTTTGGATGCGACACCAAGCTGATAAAGCTGTGTAATTTATGGACGAAATGGAGTCAAAATTTGAAGAGGGTCTCATGGAGGAGATTAGAAAACTTTATGATACATCAATTAAGGAATCTAAAGACTTTCAGTGAGCAACAAACCTGTGGGATGAAATAGCTCAGATCCTGGGTGGGTAGTTCTTTTGTTGTTTTAAAGCTAAAATGCAAACTATGTCTTCCTTCTCGTCCTTGATACCATGACTGAAATTGCGATAAATTAAAGAATTTGTTAAACTGTCATTACGCTCAAGTATGAAGTCTCAAACGTCCGCGGACAATATGCGCGGAGTCAGAGCGGCTCATGGACCGCACACAGGACGCCCGAGTATGTGGGAGCCTCAACTGAATTTTAGATCCAGTATTTTCCACTTTGCACACCCATATGGTTTAAACAGAGAAACAGAGTCAGTGTGTCTTATCAATGTGTTCCCCCTCTCTGTAAAGTAAACAAAGCCGGTTACGTTCTAATGTCTGATGTAAATGTTATAGCCTCTAGGGGTGTGACCAGGAAGTCAGATTAGTGTTTTAGGAGGTTGATTCATCAGTTATTTGTTATTGCCGTCTTCTCTTCGAGCAGCTGTGGGCATACACTGCTCCTGAAAGTGATTGTTATTGTTGCTCCAAGCACCAAGACCTTTTCTCTGAGGCCTGCTGCTGTGGGCCTGATTGGAGTCAGAGACTGAGAAAAAAGCTTTTAGAAAAYGATCAACTGGTTTTCTGCTATTTTATTTAGGCTTCCAATCTACTGATCACGATTTCCTTACAAATTTGGTGACCCCGACGTGATGGATTATCTTAAATAAGCAGAGAACATTGGYTCTTATTTTTGACTGCTGTTGAAGAACCGGAGAGGATTTGGACACATCAACTGCTGAGAAGGTGGACAGCTAAGATTTTCCAATGCCTCCTTTTTTTTCCAAAGAGGATTTCTGTCAGCTTCTCCAGAAGGTGGCGCTGTTGGAAGATTCATCATCTAGAGGAGATGAATGCTTTGGATGAKTGATGTCAGACTGAATTCTTGCTGCTAAACGTGGTTCTTAAAGTGCTTGAGTGATGAAGCAGACTTTTTGCACACAACTTTCTATTTTTTTTTTTATTAATTTTGGTTTAATGAATAATACCATGGTGGAGTCTGTTGTGTTATTGTTCAGTTGAGATMAGATTTTGATATTTTTTAGAACCGGATAAAATACATAAAAGTCTGGAACTGAAACAGGTTCCAATGTGGTATGTGGTTTACCTGAGTGAACACCAATGCGAATCCACACCGGGATACCAGGCAGGTGTCGAAGCTGGAAGGTGCCCATGAAGGCTAAAATGTCCAGCGCCATGTGACAGATGTCCACAGCGTGCCTGTTCCCGTTTCTCTTCGGCAGGCCAGAAGCAACCATATAGGCYTCCCCTATGGTCTCCACCTGACAAGCATGTAAAAATAGTTTATATAACAGTATAGTTTAAGGTGTGWTTTAAGTATTTATGTCAGTACCTTGTACACGTCATGGTGGTCGACGATGCTGTCGAAGCCCTTGTAAATGTCATTCAGCATGTCCACCACTTCCATGGGCGTGCTGTACTGGCAGAGGGTGGTGAAGCCGACGATGTCACTAAAATAAATGGTCACCTCGTCGTACAGCTCAGGCTCCACCACACCCGTCTCTTTCAGACTTTTCACCACAGGACTGTAGGCACAACAACACATGCAGTGACATACGACCTGATGGTTCTGTCAAAACGCCACTCATCTTGTTTCTGTGTATTTATTCATTTTTAACACTTATTCATTTGCTAAAATCACATTTAATTCTTGGATTCTGCTACTCTTCTTGGAAGATATACATACACAAAACTAATCTGTCTAATGTAATAATAAACGTTGGTCTAAACAGACCCAGGAAGCAGCTGAAAGTTGAGGCAGTCGGCCCGATCCCTCTCTGCCTTGTAGAGGACAGTTCTCTCCTCCACCAGGTGCTCCAGGTTTCTGGAGTACATCTGCAGCCTTCGGATCATGTTGTCCATGTAGCTCTCGTTRTCCTGGTTGTGAATTTTGCTGCACAGACAATACCGTAAGATATCTCTGAGCCTCAAGCTCACGTTTAAAACGTCAGCAGCAAAATGCAAGAAAGATAACCTGATYGTTTTCCCCAGGCAGTTTTCAACTTTCTTAAAGTCTGGTCTTTTTTCTGGATCCTCATCCCAACAGCTTTTGATCATCATGTACACCTGAAAGGTTAAGTTGAGTTTACGTTAACTTTCTTCAAAGGCGTYTAGGACACAAATATAGACAAAGCTAGCTTGCAAATTATTAATCACCTCCAGTTCTTTCTCCGAAGTAGTCTCAAAGTTGAGATCAGGCCTGAAGTAGGACGTCATCACTCTGGACAACTTTTCTGTTTGGATATAAAGAAGCTGGTCGTCATTGGACTGTAAATGCTGGGTTTTTTTTTTGTTTTGTTTTTGTTTTTTTGGGGTGGTGGTGTATTTTTATGAAGAAGCGTTGGAAACCTGTTCGATTGGAGCAGGACCGGCTGTAGAACGTGCACTTTCTGAGAACAATCTCCTGACAGATGATGGCAAAGCTATAGACGTCTCCTTTCTGAGAAGTACTCTTGTCCCTCAGGTGCTCCGGTGCAGTCCACAAATCTGAGAAGATAGAGAGCAGAGAAATCCAAATAGAGATTGTGCTTCAGTGTTTAAAAATAGGCCTACTGTTACCAGTTTTACCTTGGCTGCTGCTAAGAAAGGCATTGCAACCGAAGTCTGTGATCTTCACCACCATGCGATTGTCCACCACGCAGTTGGTGGACTTGAGGCGACCGTGGACTTGGATGTCACTGGCATGGAGGTAGGACATGCCCTGCACAGAGGAGCKATGCACCATGGGATGTTAAAGCAACAAAATACAGAAGCTAAAAAAAAAGAGATTTACAGAAAAGTCAAGAGTTGCAATGAGTTGCAAAAGWGAAATTCTTTGTAGTTTACAGGTCTACAACCTGCAGATTCATATCACATCATGTTTTGTGATCTTCATGGGGACTTTGCATTGACTTCCATTCATTTTTCATTAATTTCTATATCGTAACTCTGACTCTTAATCTTACCCTAACCCCCAACCCAAAACCACATTTAACCATATGGGGCGTGGGCTTTGGACCCCATAATGTCGGTCCATAATCATCTGTGTGAGTTGGTCAGGATGTTGAAAAAATTTTTATCTTCCAGTGTTGATCTGTTCTTCTTCACAAAGTTGACTCTGACCTGTGTGGAGAGTTCCTTCGTCTTCATGATGAGTCTTGCTTGGTGATGGACTGCACTACTTAAAGGTGTTGATCCTGGGGGTTTTCACAACAGGTGTATATAAACTGGGATCATTTGATAACTAGATTAATAGACTTTTAGATGTTTTTTTTTCCCCTGTTTAAATGTAGTAATCAATTCAGGCGTATTTTGTGTAGCTCAATTACTTCAATTTAAACTTAACGTAGTAATGCAACAAAATTAAAATTGAATTCATTGGTGTCCTTCTGTTCAGTCCAGCCTCAGAAACTTGGCTGTCATTTTTGATTTTGCAGTGTCTTTGAAATGACAACTGATTAGAAACTGCTTCTTCCATCTTAGGCTCATCTCAAAATTGAAAAGTTTCTTGTCAAAAGCTGAACATCACTGAGCTCACATCACAGCTGTTTAAGCTTCTCTTAACTGGAGACCAGTTCATTTTAAAGTTTATTTTAAAATTCTCTTTTTATTAACTTTTAGAGCCTTGATTTTGATTTGATTTATTTATTTAACAGGAAAAGATTATTAAAAATCAAGCCTGACTCAGCATAATTGCTGTTTTACAGCAGGTTCCTGTTCTGCAGCACATAAAACACTCAGAAATACAGCATCACAATCAGATCATTATACACCATAGACACAAAGACAAACAAGCATACCAAATTTCAGGAAGGCAGCATTTGCAAAATCAGACGTCTAAATATGAGCACAACAAAAAGTGTCCAGCAGATGGCAGACAAGATTCTTCTTAAAGGGCTGTAGTTTTGAAATGGACTTTATGTTTTGAGGAATGTCATTCCATGCTTTAGTATAAACATAGAAGAAAGACCTCTGGCCGTAACAGTTTTTAAAAGTTGGTAATATCAGTTGTCCTTTTGTAACAGATCTAGTTGAATGACCACTTCCAGAATTTGATTTGGGCAACAATGCACAGAGAGTTCCATAATTGGCACCTTGGAAGATCTGAAAATWTAAATTAATACCACTATACAAAACATAATTCTGAAAAGTCAAGGCATCAGACAATGAAAGAACTGTACAGTGATGAGTCCAACCAGGAAGTTTTTTATGAATTTTGTAGGCCCTGCTGTAGAGCCTAACTATGGGWTCTAAGATTTCATTTGTTGTAAGAGACCAAACAGGTAAACAGTACGACATGGTTGAGAGTATAATGGCATGAAGATAGATATTTGAAACAGAAGATGTCAGATTGGATTTACGCAAACAAGCTCCCTGATCCAGTGTCACACACCATCTCGCAGACTGAAGTCATCAGGSCAGTAGTTGTAAGTGGTAACCTGCACCCATTTTAAATCTTGTGAGGATCGGCCTTTCGAAGCTGTTGCACCCCGACTGTGGAATGTATCCCCCCAATCCATACACAGCCTTGATTCTATTGATGCTTTCAAATAAACATCTGATGACTTTCTTTTATCAAACAGGCTTTTAGCTAAGTTGTTAGAGTTTATTAATATGTGTATTCTACCCTGTTTTATTTTTTGTTTTGTTTTATTAATTATTTAAGAGGGGAACAGTGCACATTACAGAATATGCCAGGATTAGCCATGAAAGATAGTTTTCATCTGTAGTACCTCAGGGTACCATAGCCAAAATATACAATACATACATACATACAAATTATTGAGAATATTTCATAAAAAAATCAAGCAACATGATTAAAAATAATYATAAAAATCCATTTAGCATAACAATTCATTACAATAAAAACAATACATTAAAAATGCAGAATGATAAAAGAATCCCATATTCAGTGTCTACACAAGTGATAATCCAGGAGCCATGATTTTAAGGTATTAGAGAATGATTTAAAAGAAGGGTCTTATTCTTTCTGGCATTTTATTCCAGTCAAGTGAAGTTTTTATTGKAAACTTGTTCTGACCAATTCTACTACATCTTTGACAGTAGCTCTGGTGGTCCTGACCGACAATGACTTAACAAGTGCTTCAAGTTGAAGAAGTGCTAGACCATGCAAAATTTTCAGAGACAAATATTTGCAAATGTGATCATATCAACTAAAAAATGTGTTTTTTTAGATTGCATTGATGATGCTTAAACTTGTACTTTTTATAAATGTGATGGTTTAACAATTTTCTTGCTTTAATTGTGAAGCACTTTGTGATTTTATATCTATGAAACGTGCCAATAAACTTTACTTATTTACGGAGGGTGCAAATTCTTTTAAAACCTACCATATTTGTAGTTTTACTGACATCTACTGATAACTGAGGAAACTACAGCACCTCTTGATTTTGTAAACCTGATAATCATTTTCTGACAAACAGTTACATAATATAGATCATTATAAATGTGTTCTCATGCTTCTTTATGATTCAGGTCTGTCCAGTTSTTTAGCGTGGAACAAGTAAATCCATCTCATTACAGGTCTGACCAACATCATCTTAAGAGTGCTTTAGGGAACTTTTATTAGTCAAAGTGCAAAATGAACACTAATGTCATGAAATACTTTGTTTAAAYTATGTTTAGGCGTGTCATTAATTATTGTATGATGCTAAAAAGCATTTATACYTTAGCAAAACATTTCATGAACTACTATATTAGGGTTCCTGCAGATCCTTAAAAAGTCATAAAAAGCATTGAATTCATCWATTCAAAAYTAAGGCCTTAATTAGCTTTAAAATGTCTTAAATTGGTTTTTCAYAGGTCTTAAATGTTAACACATTGTTAGTTTATGGTTATGGTTAATGGGGATGGATAAAAAGCCCWTATGAGTGGGGACCCTGTAAGGGGGCCCATTGCTTTCCCCAAAAGACACTTCAAACCTTTGTGTCCCTCAGATGAAGGACACAAGGTTAGAAACACTCAGTGTTCTGAGCTTCTCAGGATCCACAAAGGGGTCCCCAAGAATTKTTTTCCTTTGACCACTCAGAGCCAGGCAGTGGCCTAAGTAGTGCAAAGAGGTCTGTAGTTCAATGCCACAGGCACCACACAGACCATTGTCATGGAGTCACATCACCATTCTGTGGCGGTTGAGCAGATTGCGCCCAGTTAGGACTCCAACCAGTGTACTTAGAGTTTTACTTGTCAGGGAGATGAGAGCTTTCCCAAACCTTAGATTTGGGCCATTTATCAGTTCCAGTGCCTGTCTGCAGTCCGTCAGCTCCCTCCAGTGGATTGAGTGTTGACGTCTAATCCAGGCCTGTAGGGCAGTCCTACAGACTGTTGTTGAGGTACCTACAACAGTCTCTGGTCCTTTGAAGTAGGATGATTGTAATTCATCTCAGATATTAAAATAATTGGTAACAGCTAGTTGTTCTGTGTTAAAATACATTTTTGGGTAAAATTGTCACTAATGTTTTTATATTTGTGTTTATTGTGAATTTGGTCTTAAATTTCATTTCAAGAGACATTAAAAAGTCTTAAATTGAACTTGCCTTTTGCTGTAGGAACCCTGTATATGGATTTCAATGCAACGCTGCGAAAGTAATCATTGTGTCTACATCTATAACTAAAGAACTTTTGGAGTCAGTCCAGTGAAAGATGGCCATCACAGCTGGCTAACACAAAAATAGCCAAAGCTCAGTCAGTTTTATATACAGTATATTGAGCTAATATTTAGTGAGGTAGTGAGAGTCATCTTCAACACATACTCTGAGTGCTAACAGATCCTGTAAGCGCTWATGATATTGTAAGATTGTCTTCGACGGCCCAAATCATGGATTTGGAAAATCRCTTCTTGCCTTGACAAGGAATACTTTAAGTACACTGGTTGGAGTCCTAACTGGGCACAATCTGCTCAACCGCCATAAAATGGTGATGGGACTCCAAGACAATGGTCTGTGTGATGCCTGCGGCATTGAATCAGAGACCTCTTTGTACTACTTAGGCCACTGCTTGGCTCTGAGTAGTCTAAGGAAAAGAATTCTTGGAGACCCCTTTGTGGATCCCGAGAAGCTTAGAACACTGAGGGTTTCTAACCTGGTGTCCTTCATCCGAGGGACAAAAAGGTTTGATTAAAGCCCAGTATCTTTTGGGGAGAGCAATGGGCCCACTTAGGAGGCCCCCGCTCACCTGGGTTGTACCCATCCCCAATTACCATTACCAATACCAAAAAGATTGTCTTCGAGGCTATTTTCAAGATTTTGTCAAAACAGCTGTAACACATTAAAAAAGGTTCTCAACATTTGATGATGTCAATCTAAAACTTTGGCATGATAGGTGTGGAGCGATGCATCCCCTTTAGAGAATGTTAACCCCTCAATTAGTTATATTTTCTCCATGCTATGTGGGCTTTTATTRTGAAGAAATCGTCACAGTTTTGTTTATGTATTCATAAAATTCAGTTCTCACCTTGGCAATGTCATACATGACAGAGATTTTGAACTCCCAGTCCATGAAGGTCTCTTCTGGGTAAGACACCTTCTCATTTAGCACYTCCTGGAAACACAAAGAGGACAAAGGGTGATGTTATATGGAAGGCTGTCATTTTTCTCCCATGCTTTGATATTAACTGGAACCTATYCCAGCTTACAGGACTGACCTAAACTGAATGGGGGCTACTTACCCTGAGAGACCCCCGCTCTCCATACTCAAACACTCCAAACACTCCCTCATCCAACTTGACCGTGCCATAAAACTTAGTGAGGCTGTAATAGTCGATGTGCAGAAGCTGCMAGGAAAAGGCAGCAAGATGTGAAGTGTTGGTGAGCAAAACTGAACAAAATGGCTTTAAAGCTCCTGAACGCGGCCTCGCAACCGCTGCGACTTACCGCATTGAGCTCTATCCTCTGGGTTTTATTAAAGTTCCCGTCTGAGTTCTTCAGGTCCTTCAGAATCACAATCTGAAATTGTTGCAGCAACAATAACAGAGGTAAATGCATGCTGTTCTCAGTGGGAGAAAAGACTTCAGAACAGGATGTTGTGTCCAGATAAATACCTTCTTATCGTAGAGAGCACGGCGGATCTCAAATTTCACTTTCCTCTCCTCTTCWATCTAAAGAAGAAGATGAAGGCCACTGTCACAGCATTGTGGGATGCTCGAGAGAACAAAGAAACGTGTTGCAAGTGAAAGACTCAGCAACTTATTATTAACCCTTTATTTAACCAGGCAAATCCCATTGGGATCACAAACCCCACGCAAGCACGAGGAGACCCCAGGTCCAAACCGGGGATCAAGCCCAGGACCTTCTTGCTGTGAGGCATCAGTGCTAACCACTGAGCCGCCGTGCTGCCAACTACTGGGTCAGTCTGGACGAGGTCTTCACCTTCAGGGAGATAACATTGTGTTCACTGTCCTCCAGCAGAGTGATGAGGTCTAAGTTGATGTGGGACCAACGCTTCCTGAGCAGACGATCCTTCCTGTTCTGTCTACATGGGGGGGAAGTAAAAAAGTATTTCAAATCCTAACTTGTTCATGTTTCTCACAATATTTATTACTGAAATAATAAAGAATCCCAATCAAAGACAAATTCTGGGTGAGTGAAATTTAACACCCTTGTCTATAATTGCACAGTACACCTTCCAACGTGAGGGTTTACCTGTAGAAAATAAACGCAATCGTCGCCACGACCACCACTGTGACGGCCAACACACCTACGATGATGTCGTGAGGAGCAGGATCTACAGGAGTGACAGGAAACAGTTTTATTTCAGAGTGAAGATATGCAGCTTCATGCACAGAAAATGACTTCTATATTAAACACTACACAGTYGCTGAATGAGACAATCCTGCTGAATGTTGGCTCTGTCCAGCTCCAGCTGTAAACGCTCCTCTTCTAAAATTAATAAAAAGGACTGAACCACTCTCCAAGAGGGGTTTGCAAGTTCTTCCTTGGCTCAGTCGGTTCATGGGCAGCAGGTCAAAATCACTTGTGCTCATTTCTCAGCTTCACCTGCRGGTGGATCAAAGGACATAGTTGAAACTGGAAATGGAGACACATTTGGCTGAGACTGAATCGATAAGAACCACTCAAGGAGGAGATAGTCACTCTAGCGTGTCCTGGGTCTTCCTTCGGGGTCTCTTCCCAGTTGGAAATGCCTAGAACACCTTCCCCCTCAGAGAGGCGTCCAGGAGGCATTCTTAACTGCTTCCTCTTGATGTGGAGGAGCAGCGACTCTACTCTGAGCCTCTCCTACAGAACATCTCTATCTCTAAGGGAGAGTCCAGCCTGTGGAAAAAAACTCACTTCAACCACCTGGATCAGTGAGCTTGTTCTTTCCGTCACTACCCAAACTTTGTGACCATAAGTGAGTGTAGGAAAGTAGACCYACAGGTAAACGGAGAGCTTCTCCTTACAGCTCAGCTCCTTCTTCACCACAACAGATCAGCACAAAGTGGACAATACTGGGGAAGCTGCACCGAACCGTCCGTTTATTCTCAGACCTCGAAACACTTAAAGCAGAACCTCAACCCCAACGTAGAGACTCTGGGGGTTGGAGGAGGGGGGACTGCGAGCACACAGTCTGGATGATCAGATCGGACTTTCTGATGATACCTGGGTGTTCACTTGAATAAAAATTAGGGTTTTGTTTGGTGCATGCAAATCCCCAAATTATCATATCATTTAAAAAACTACCTATCATATTTCATGATCAGATAAATGTGATAATAATTGTATATTTGGCAACGTTGCTCCTGAATCTTTAAGACCTTTCCCGGGCACTTGCAAGTCTCTAAAACACGTTTTTATCTTTGAACTTTGAATTCCCTCTTCCTGGCACATTTTCAACAACCTTAAAGATGATAAAAAGTTTATTAAAAACAATTTATCGCTATATTGCCACATGATAGCATATCTAGTTGGCATCCGATTAAAGCTCAGCCAACAGGTGTGCTATTTTTCTGTCTGYGACGCTGTGAACAGTTAATGATTAAAGTGTCTGTTTTAGCTTTACCCGTYTCTGGTTTGGCCTCAGGAAGTCTTTTTCCCCAGATGAAAATAGGATCCTTGTCCTCCACTTTGGTTTCYTTGTACTCTGTGTCAAAGGTGAATAAAACTTCATACTGTGGATGACATCAGACACAAAAAAATAACAATAGTTTTCCATGCAAATCAACCCTACAAAACATAAGCAAAGATTTTTGTGAGATTGTTGACTAAAAATCAAACCTTGTTGTTTGTTGTGGTGTAAATGACCGTGAGATTTACGTCTCTGTCACCATGACTGTCCAGTTTATAATCTCCAGCAGTCCCTGTGCATAAACATTACAAGCACTCATCAGTTGTTCTGTCCTTGTTTTGTTACTGTTGAATGTTTTTTGACTGATTAAGACTATCTAAAATTTAGGGGGGGGGGGTTATACTTTGCGATAGGTTGCAGTATTTTACTTTGAACAGTAGGTGATTCAACAAGTTTTATTTAACACCTGGCTTGCTCCAGCAGTGTAAACTGTTTTAAAGGGGCAATATCATGTAAAATCAAATTTTTGAGTTTTATATCATGTTATAATGTTACACTCTCATAAAAAACATACCCAAAGCCTTGTGACTCATTCATGCACGTTTGAGAAATCC